TGGTATAGAATGCCATTATAAATTATAATTTATTATAATAAATGTAAGTTATTACTCGTATCCCACTGGATGATTGTACTTATAAAGTTTACCCCCTCTTTTATGATTATTTTATATATTTTCTGTATTTATTGATATTATTATTATTGTTTCTTATTGTGTACATGTTTACATTGTAATTTGAAAAATCTTCAATAAAAATATTTGAATAAGAAATTACAATATAACTTGGTCATAGTCAGTACCTTTACCATTTTGGTATTTGGTTAGATTCTAAACTGCCATGTAGTTTTCTTACTGATAGTAATAATATTTTAGCAGTACTAGGTATGAAAACAAATAGCATATAAAAACCACAAGAAGAAAATATATTGTTCAACATTCTTTAACATCGCCTATTGGAATATTATTTAAGCATCTGCTTTACAAATGCATTTCAGTAAGGTCGCTATTTGTATTATTCTTTGTGATGCCTATACTCTTCAACCAAATTTTAAAGGAAAGCAAGTCGGAAAGAATGACTTCACATCAGCTCAAGACAGAAACTTGAAAGCAGGCCATAATCCATTGTCTAATGTCTCGGTATAAACACCATTCAAGGATATAAGGAAAATGAATGGACTGCTACAGCAAGGTATGCAAATTCTCTGTGTTAAAGTAGCACAGGTTATTTTTGTTACAGCTGTTGAGCTGGGTTTTTTTACCGAGTAGTCTAGACTAATAATGTTGTCTTTCTAAATCATACATATTTTTCATTTCTTGTAGAACTCTACTGTTGGCACTATTAGTAGTTGATGAGCTGGGCATGCAACTGTCATGATAAAAATAAGAAGGGATTTCACACTTTTCATATTCCATTGGTGTCCCCTTGAACCAGTCATAACTTAATCAGCCTTAACTCATCACACAAAAGTTGGGGTTGAAGCAGAGGCATCAGATTGCACATGATGTGTTGGTAAAGGTAAGACCACTGCACAAAACACTCTAGTTAAGTAAACACAATGTCAACAGTATAAAGGATGCAAGGAAGTGCAACCAGCCCCAGGCTCATTATTCGTAGCATATTTCTCTCCATATATGGGGTATGGAAATAGGGAACAACACATATCTGCAATTTTAGTATGTGCCCCAAGGCTTGTATGTCCGGTTTTTATGCTGCGCATGATGCTGGAATAGAGTAGGCAAGCCATTTGTCTAGATTCAAGCATGCTGAAGATCCTGGGACTCATCATCAGCTCCTTTGACTTCCATTATCATTTCTATGCGGATGACATGCAAATCTACCTGTCCTCTCCTGATCTCTCTCCTCCCATCTTGACTCATGTCTCTGACTGCCTCTCTTCGATCTCCAACTGGATGGCTGCTCACTTCCTTAAACTCAACCTGTCCAAAACAGAGCTTCTGGTCTTTCCTCTCTCAAGTGTTATTACTCCTGTGTCTGTCTCACTCCAAGTCAACGGCGCTACCATCATCTCTGCCTCGCTGTCTGGGTGTTCTTCTTGACTCCAACCTCTCATTCACTCCTCATGTCCAATCAATCGCCAAATCCTGTCGCTTCCACTACAAAAACATAGCATGCATTCACCCTGACTTAACCGACTGAGGCTAAGGTGCTGGTCCGTGCTCTTGTTCTCTCTCGCCTTGACTTATGCAATACCCTTCTCAGTGGTCTTACGTGTTCCCAGATTGCACCGCTGCAATCTATAATGAATGTAGCAGCGAGGCTCATTTTCCTGTCCGCTCGCACCTCCCACGCCTCACCGTTTTGTCAGTCCTTGCACTGGCTTCCAGTTAAATATAGGGCTCAATTTAAAATTCTGGTGCTTGCTTACAAGTCCCTACATAATGCTGCTCCAACCTACCTATCCTCCCTAATACACAAGTATGTCCCTTCGAGGCCCTTAGGCTCTGCCAAAGACCTGCGTCTATCCTCTGTCCGTACTCCCACCTCTAATGCTCGCCTTCCAAGATTTCTCCAGGGCTGCACCTCTTCTGTGGAACTTCCTTCCCTTCTCCGTAAGACTTTCACCCAGTCTCCACTCATTCAAAAATTCACTGAAAACTCACTTCTTCAAGAAAGCATATCAATTAAACTGTAAGCAGGTTTTTATCCCCCACCCCCATGACTCCTCTCATGCAACTGTCAAAAATTACCTACTAAGCCCTCAGTGAATACTTTTCTAAAAACCTACTTCGTACCCCTACTTTTACCCTTTGTGTCACTATACCCCACTCCCTCTAGAATGTAAGCTCATTGAGCAGGGCCCTCCACCTCTCTGTTCCTGTACGTCCAGTTGTCTGGTTACAATTTCATATCTGTTAGTCCACCCATTGAACAGCGCTACGGAATGGGATGGCGCTACATAAATAATAAAATAATAATAATAATAATAATAATGTATCATTAATTTATTGTTGATGTCAACAATCTGCAAACTAGTAACAATTTTCTAACTATTTAACACACACATGCCAGCCAGCTGGCTTTTTTAGTGTGTGGTTGTTCGCAGGAGAACTTTTCAAAAATTGGTGAGAAATGCATATCAAGACTGCACCCCAGAGTTACCAAGTGAAGTTAATAATATGTTTGCATTAAATGTTATAATTCTCCTTTCATTTCGCCATATTTCCTGTGTTGTGGCTTAAACACTTAAAACTTGCTTCCAATGTTGTCAAACTGCCATTACTCATCAAAGTAGCTGCCGCTAATCTCAGCCAGTAGTGACTGTTTCCTAAATGCAAAATCTTACAACTAGCAACTGGTAATTATCTGCTGACATTACTGTTAACAACTCTCACAGGGTACAATAAGAGCTGTTAGTGGCTAGTAATCAACGTTTTTAAGGCCAATTAAAAAGTGTTATATTCTGATGAAACTATATGACTTGCAAAACTAATGCAAAAATAAAAACCACCATCTACACCCCCCCGCCTCCATCCCCCCCAAATTAAAAAAAAATGAATTGTGGTTGATGTAACTACATTGGAAATGAGCCCTTAGCATTCACTCCGCTCAGATCAGTATATGGAATCACTCTTTAAATTTTCTTGGATACTATGTGGTCATATGAAATCAGAATAGATGAGAAATCAGGTTATATGAATGGTTTTACTGGTGGTAGAGAGGATCAACTGGTACCCTGTCTAGTCTACAAGAACATGTTATACAGACATAGATATTGATAGAGTGAATAAACCCCATGTGCTATGTTGTCCTTTTCAAGAACCTGCAAAGAAGATAAAAACATGAGCCTAGTGCACCAATGATATATTACTCAATACACATGTCACTTAGTTGAATAAAATATAGTAAGAAGAACTTTCCAACCCCCCCAACTACCCCCCAAATACCTTAACAACGCATAAAATCAGACAAAGCATAGAGCAGTATTGTTTGCACAGGCTTCACCATAAAGTGTTTATCCAACAAACAATGTGCTCACATTTACAGACTCCTATAAATACCCACAATCTTGCAAATAATTAATTGCACATAGGATTTACCACTTGTTTTGAGTCTTCAACTCAGCGTCTTTAACCATCCCAAATCCAACCCCTCTGCCTTTCTGACAGGCTAAAGTCATTGCTGTTCTGGATCTACGAGTAGCTAAGACTACTGTGTCCCAAACATGCCAAAGATTCCACCAACACATTGATTTTGTTTACAACAGACCTCATCAGGGCTGTCATCAGCAAGTTATTGAGGAGCCTGTACTCACTGTTTTTTTTCTGATTTTAAACAGATGGCTAGTTAGAGCAGACTACATGTCACTGCCTAGAACTGGGAAACCTAGGTCAGGCCACCTCACGGGTATCACCAGTAAGTTTACTTGGGAACGACACGTTGCATCATATATTGCATAGATTTACGTTTGTTTGAGCCAGACCTTGTCCACATTTTGTCTCTGTTATTATTATTCTGTTTATTATTAGCTTGCATACTCTGTGTGCGTAACTGTAAAGTGCTGTGGGATATGTTCATGCAATATAAATGCAAAAAAATAATAATAGAGAACAAATGCCCTCTACATTTACAATATTAAGTGATGTTGTGGGCAAGGAGTGAAAAGATTAAAGCAGCTCTGTGTGCTCTGATCTGTATATAATGGAAAAAAAGTAAAACATCACTTGCAGTGTATTTATTTCTCTCTAACGTAGTGTGTTAGAACACGACACCATGCAATTTTTTTCCTTAAGTGATGTTTTCTGAAAAGCATAAAAATAGCATTTCACATTTAGAAAGGTGCCATTTTTTTTTTTTAATTTTTAATTTTTTGTTGTGCAGGTGGGTACATCATATTAACAGTCGCCACAACAGCATATTGCAAGATATAGAACATTTTGACAGTGGCATGAGAATTCGCACAATTTTATGTTTTTTAAAGCATGCTTAATTAGACAGATTGATGAAGTAAGATTAGCTAACATACAATGATATAAACTGACGATTAGTTATTAATGCTAGTTCTGCTATGCTATCGTTGTCATACTGTATAAGCACGGTTTACAGTTTAGCAGTTACTAAATGAAATAATACATTTAAAAGTTAAACTATGTGTATTTAAGCTAAGAAACACCAAACAGAAGTTAACATTGCTAGAGTTGGCCTACGTTGTGTAGTCATGTTTCTATACTCTCTAAGCATAATGATGCCCTGCATAAAAACAAGGGTAAGACGCTTTGAAGGTCTTGAGTGGGTTAGTAGACGTAACATCTGAAAGTTGTTAGTGGAGTCTGCACATTTTTAAAAGGTAATACTGACATGCATGAGAATACATTTGCAATGGGTGAGTAGCTGCTATATGATCTATAGTGAATGAGCTAATTGCCTGTGGTTAATATACTGTATTGCTTGCTCCACTGCTGCTATACTGAACTAACAGTCTCTGCTGCGATTTGCCAGGGCCATACTGTGAGACATACTGCGATGTGGGATCTTGCAGTGTCTCTGCTGTAGGGCCTGCATGGACGCAGATTGTCTCTGGGTCAGTCTGCCTTGGTCAGCCGACACCAGCTCTGAAGGATTGGCGTGTGGGCCCGGAGCGTTGCGGGGTCCCCTCCCTCGTTGGTTGTGGATGGGCTCTGTGCCGGTTTCGTACGCCGGGCAGCGACCCTGTCGGATCGTGGTCTGCTCTGATCACTTGCTCCATGTTCTGTATTCCGGTCGTGTGGTGAGTAAGGGCGCCCCTGTAGAGGGCAGATTCACCTTGCAGGCAGCGCAGGGTCTTGGCTGTGTTGCATATTTTTTGGTGTGGTCGACTGTCATTGCCATCCTGGTATGGAAGTTTCATGGCAGCCATTTTATGCTTTTCCTTCTGCTGTCCTCTCGTCCAGTCTGGGCCCCTCTGGAGTTTAGGTCGGGTCTCTGCACATCTGTAAGGCCGCCTTTGGAGCTGTGCCTTGAGTGTCTCTTGTGTTTCAGTCGTTTTGTGCGGGCTGTGAGTGGCCTTTGTGCAGTTCCAGGTTACTGGGTTACCCTTCTTGCGAGTGGGGTTCCGGGGGTGCGCCCTTTCTCCCCTTGTGCTTCCATGCTGTGGACCCTGCCTCATGTTGCCAGGTGGGAATCCCTTTTGGGGGGACTGCATCAGGGCCACCAGCTTCTCCCAGAGGGCACCGAAGATGCGGTCGTATCGGCGTTTAGTTTCCCTCTCAATTATGTGCAGAGCTGAGGTCTGTGGGTTGGGCGCCATCTTGCCTGCTCTACTTGTGGCCTCTGTGCTTCGCGGTCGTGTATTCTGGTGAGTGCTTGTACACTTGCTTGTGTGGACCGGGATGACCCCCACCGGTCCAGGGGGGGGGGAACGCAGGCTCTGTGTTAAGTTTCCAGGCATTCTAAGCTGCGGGGAAGCGTCCGTCTCTCCTGTACCTGCTCTTCTGGTAGGCCTCGCCAGTGTGTCAGGCACGTACCGGGTAGTTAGTCACTTGTTGGGTATCGTTGTGTCCACCCTGGCAGCCCCCGTCATCTGGTGACCTTTGTTTGGCTTTTAAAAGCTGTTTCAGCGGCTTTGTGGCGTTTTTTCTGGCAATGGTTGCAGGAGCTGTGGTGATTAGCGTCTGCTCGATGCTGCGGTCAGGCCCCACAGCAGTTGTGTTTTGAGTGTGTGACATCTAGAAAGGTGCCATTTTAAATACTAATGTATTTACATAGAAAGTGGTAAAGATTTTAATATTAATATCAACAGTGAAGAATATGAAATTTATATCGTAGAATGGTACTGGCCTTCAACATATTTTTTGAAGATCAAAGCACTTTGATTGCCTTTTTTATTTTTGTAAGCTAATTGTTATGAAGTGCATTAAAATATAGCATCTTGTGTTACATTGATGAATTCATTTTATTCTTGAAATACAGATTTAGTGGATAAAAAAGCTGTTGAATACATTGTATTTCTCACTCACTAACGCAGTTGCATATAAATATATATTCTTATCTGTGTGTCCTTGTGTTCCTATTTTCCCCATCTACCTCCTGTGTCTCTTTTTACATACTGTACTGTTAGCCAATACATTGTGGAATTGTGGAAGGATTGGTTATTTTTAGCGGCCTTTGTGGCTGTAACTGCTGAATAAATTGACATAATTTTTTATATAGAAAAGTGCACTGTGCAAAAACTGCACTTAAATAAATATACAATAGCAATAAAAAATAATATAGCAGCTACCCTCAACTTAACACTAAAGAATGTAACAAAATAGAATGAACTAATTGGAACCAATCCACTATAAGCACACCCAGTGGATTGCTATTGATATACTCTCACCCTTATACATGAAGGGGTAGAATAGGGAATGATGAAGAGATGTCACTAGGACAGGGAAAAATATAATAAAGTATAGTGTCATATGTACAAAATAAGGAGTGGTGTACGTGAATATGAAACGCACTCACGTGGAATCGAGCCCTATAAGGATAGGCTCAAATCTCATCAGCAGGGGTATATTAGGGTAATAACAAACCACACAGAACATAAGTGGTTTAGTATTACCTTATTTTGTAGCCCTGCTGTTGAGATATGAGTCTATCCTCTTCATATTCACGTACACCACTCCTTATTTTGTACAGATATTACAGCATATTTTGTTGTATACAGTATAGTTTGTTGTATTTTTCCCTGTCCAAGTGATATCTCTTCATCATTCCCTACTCTTCCCTTTTGTTTATAAGGGTATTTGTATATCTATAGTGCTCCACTGTGTTTGCTTATTGTGGATTGGTTCCACTTAGTTCACTCTGTTTTGTTATATTTTTTTATTTATTTTAGAAGACAAATTTTGATTATCCAGAAGTCTACTTTCAGCCATTCCTCATCTATCTTCTATCTAGATTTTGAACCATTGGTCACAGTGGATAGTGAAGCATGAGCTATGGCAAGCACTGTCATCGGTCTAAATAATTGGATGGGCTTCTGTATCATTTTGTGGAAGTACCTTCATATTGTTAACTGATCTTAAAAGGAGCTGTCACTATGAATTACACCTCTGAATGAAACACTTAGTTCAGTCTACTAAGGCTACACATCGTAAATGAGGAGAAGTTGGTTCATTTTCCTCTTTTCTGTGTGCTCTCTCTACGCTGACTGCAAGATGCTAAGGACATAACCTTTAACAACAATTAGCAGTGAGCTAAGATTGAGATTGTTCCAAAACAGAAAGATGTGGATTTCTACATTTAATTTATTTATTTTTATTCAAAGAAATACAGTACTAGTTTAGTCTATGCGATAAGGTAAACCTATTATTAAAGGACCACTAAAGTCGCCCAGACCATTTCATCTCAAATTGGTCTGGGTGCAGTCGTACTGTAGAAACAGCAATGTTTAGATTACAGAGTTCAATACACCTCTAATGGTTGTCTTCCCCGAAAAAGTTTGGATCTGTTTGGTATGCTCTTGGAATACCTTCCTCTTTAATTGTATCATAGAGCTAAATGTGTTTGAGCCTTTTCAGTGGCCAGGATAATGATAATGAAACTATTGTCGATTTGCAGCAAGTCTTTCTTTAACATTTTGTTTCTTGCTCATATTTGAATTCCAGACTATATTAGAATTTCCCAAGCCTCCCATGAGAAAAAAGATGTTTAAATATCCTCTGAGTACGTTTTATTACATTTATCTGTAGTGTTTATAAAACAAGTTAGCCTGATGTAAGCATAGTTTATAACAGCTATTAAGCTGCCACCTTCTAGTGGTGTCTGAAAAATATGTAATCAATATGCCATTAAATATGAATTATGAAGTGTGTAAAAAGTCGGGGATAGTTAAAAGACTGGTGAATGAGCTTTGACGTTTATGTACTGTCACTTAAGAAATATTGATTAAATGATTGAATGCTTTTGTAAGAGAAGCATACAGCCAGGGTGTAGAAACCCTTAGTCTTTTATGTGCTACATCTAGATAAATTTTAAAAAAAGCAGAAGCATAGATCAGCTTTTCTAGACTGTTTAATGCCTTTTTTTAATAGTTTTTCCCCCACACAAATAAACTCTGCTTGTAAAATGTTTACTTTTTGAGGTGCATGTCACAATGTATTGTGATTATAAGTTATTGTTGTGTTAGTGTATGGATTATTTAGAATTAAAATGTCAAAATGTATAGGTATATAGCTTGATTGCTGACGTCAGCCAACAGTTAAGTTGCTTACAATCATTTGTGATGAAAAGGAGGAATTAAAGAGTTACTCCAGGCAACCACACCTTAGATCTTTAATACAGCAATGAGGGTTGTTATTAAGATACTTTAATACAGCGACGAGGGTTGTTATTACTAATCTTCTTTCTTAATTTTTTAAAATATTTTTTTGAAATAATTGTTTTGCTTCATAAGCCTGTCCCTTCTGCCCCCACCCTAGTAATACATCTGTATCAGTAATGATCTGTTTGTAAAAAGTGAAGCAAATGTAAAAGTAAACATTAACAAACAATCTTAATTGTGATAAAAAGAGATAGACTTGTTTCCATATGTGACATCATATTGAGCATTTTCACCAAATATGGAGAGAGAAGGGTTCTGTATTCTATCCACACCTCCTTTACTTGTGGTAAAAAAAAACACCTCTGCTCAGGAAGGGAAGGTGCCGACGGTTTGCACTGCCAGATATTAGGAGCACTGAGCAAGCCGCCAGGCCAACGTCTGGTACTTGCCTTGGCCTGTGACCAGGTGCTCAACTGGCTAGTCTGCCTCTGAATGAAACCCAAATTTAATGAGGTCCCCACAGCAAATTAAACAATGTTTAGACCTAGTAGTAGGTCTGTGACGAGACCAATCTCGCCACATTGCATTGGAGAAGCCTGGTTGCTCGCCTGCTGCCTTTGGACTATGGCCCCCATGTTAAAAGACTTTGTTTCGCCTGCAGAAAAGCTTTATTCGTGCTTTTCTGCCTGGTGTTCGGTAGATTCAATCTACCTAACAACCGCACGAATGACTGGACCACCTGGGAGCTGGAGTGTGCCGGCAATTAGCCTCCCTGAAGCTGCGGTTAACCGCAGCTTAATTGACGAATGCTGGGTGGCCGCCATTCGTATCCCGAACACGAGGTCGCGGCCATTTTAAACATGCGAATGCACAGCGGTGTTCGACGCTTAATTCATGGAACTGAAATCGGACACAGTTTTGCGCAAACACCGCTGAAGCAGCTGACCTTCCTTCTTGGTCGGTGAAAGTGCACAAACGGCCCGGCGTTCGGTAGTTTTACTGGAATGTGTTATAACCCAGATAGGAATCCCATGGAGCCCATTCGCATGAAACTGACTGTGTAAAGACTTTAGCTCCATGGCGATTAAACTGTATTCGTGTGGTCTGAGCGCCATTCGCTTAATAATGTGCGCTCAGACCTGAGCTATCTGGGGACATGTTAAATGTATAAATTTATTGTAATGTGTCTTATGTAGTATATTTTAACAGTAATTCATGTTTTAGTATCCCCACGTGCATAATGGTGATTTGCCTTTGTCTTGGGAGATAATTGAATTACTTCTCAATTATCTCCAAGGCAGAGGGGAGGAAGCCAGGATGCATTGTGGGAATATAATGTGACTGTGTGTCCTATTTGTCAACTTGTCTGTCATTTGTCACAGTCTCCCATTTGGTCCCCTAGGGGAGTGTCCACCAGGTGGGAGACCTGCATAAATACTGGGCAGGTAGCCCTCATTAAACAGACCACTGCTTGACCCTCAACACGGAGCCTTGTCTCGTCTTTGGGGGGATTTACTGAATGCTGATAGAGACTGATTGCTAGGAGTGTAAGCCGCTTGGATGCTTTTCCTATTCGTCTGCTAGCAGTGATTCGTATGGTTCCTGTTCGTGTGTTTGGAGTACTATATGGGATGCCGTTCGGGAGTTTGGAGCATTTACTTATTGGCGGTTCATGTGTTTGGTGTTCTACAATAGCTGTGCCTGTGTCTCTGGAAGGGAAGATCTACTAAACGGCGGTTTAACCATTTTATGCCTGAGGGTGCCGTTGCAAGGTCTTTTTCATGTTCAAAGTAAATAAGTGCAACAAAATTTCTAACAAAGGGTGCTAATTAATCATGTTATCAATCAGTAGATTACAACAGTGGCCAATAAGACATGTGACTGCAGTTTCAAGC